CGAAAGGTGACAGGCGGCACCGACCCTGCAGGCCTCGGTGATGGCGGTAGCCAATGACGTGTGTATTGAGTTTGTGTCTGTAGGGGTGGTAAAAGTGGCAAATGGATTTGTACGCCGCTCTGCAAGGTCCATTACACCAAGTTGTTCCAATAATGCGGCGTTAGCAGCCAATGGCTCATCAAACGGTATGGCCGCCTCTGCCCCACCGCAGGCTTTGCCATGGGATGTGTTCTCCTGCATGTTAGAAAGAAGACGTCTAAATGCTGCGTAACTTTGACTCCGTGGAAGATGTACGCTCCGTGTAACCGCATGGGATGCGCTGCCCCCACCCCGCCTTGCATGCGCTACAGCGATGGGTGTGACGGTGAATACGGCACTGTGCAGAACCGACAACGTCAGGAACAATGGAGGGCGCACGCCTACTCGTCTCAAGCACATGAAAAATAAATTTCCCTCGCCGTTGCACCCACACAGAGAAACACACACTGAAAAAAAAAACCCTCTCGGTACTTCCGACCTGCCACAAGAATTTAAAAAAAAAAAAAAAAACGAAGATAAAAGAGCACAACTAAATATCATGTGCAGACAAACTATGGAAAGAATTCTTTTTTTTTTTTTTTCTGCCTTCTTCCTTCTCTCACTTAATATATATATACTCTCGCAGATACTCTTGACGCAAGTCATTTCACTCGCCATTCCACTCCGCTGTCTTTTCTAGGCGTTCCTGAATCCCTCGCGCCATGCGTTTCGTTTTTGCCATGTTTTCATCCAAAACCTTCATGTTATCTCGCATAACGTGAAGTTTCTGCGTGTATGCTTGCAACTTCTCAAAGATTTCCCCCACCTGCCGCATCTGCTCCTGCGTCTCGTTGAGTTCCGCCTTCACCTCCTCGATGGCTTGGAGTGTCGCATTCTGCTGGGTTTGCATGCCACGAAGCAGCTCAAAGATACTGCCAAAAACCCCATCGCGAAGAGCCACAAGCAGCTGTTCGGGGACGAGACTCGTGTCTTGCGGAGGTGTCCATGCACCGTGCGCCTCTTCGTTCTTCGCCAATGCCGTGGCTTCACTTGCGTGGGATCCTTCCACCCGCTGCTTCTCCAAAGCGTCGTCCGACTGCTCATCCATCACATCGGACCCCTGAGCAACAAAAACAACAAAAAAAAAAAAAAAAAAAGAGAGAGAGAGAGAAGAAAAAGAGGGAATTCAAACAATAAAAACAAGGGGGATATATGTAGCAATGACATGATACGTGCATTGTCCATGAAACTCAATTGGAAACAACGGTGGGGTCATGATGGATGTGGTGCGGGTTCGGCGTCGGGGTTGCTGCTTTCCGTCCGCTCCGCCCAGACAGCAGTTGGGTTAACGACGTACTTCACCCCCTTGCGTCTCTCCGTTACAACCCGACAAATGGCCTTCCCACAGACGGTACAACAGCCCTCCAGGACAGTCGGGTCGCTTCGCTTATTCTCATCTCTTAGGCACTCCTCACGCCATGTACGATGCTGCAGCCTCACACAACGTCCACTACGCGTCTGCCGCAGCATGTCCCCCTCGACACGCAACCCAGAGGACGCAAGAGTCACAGCTGGCGAAGCCCGGCCGCCATCCTGCAGTACACACTTCTGAAGAAGGCTTCGTAGCTGAAGCACACTAGTATGCACTGGGGCTGTAAACGACGGCCACCCGCCACTGTGCCGACCCAAAGAACTAGACGCCGCATACTCTGAACTACAGAACAGAGGCGATTTGCAATTACCACAGACGTACAGCAGAAACAGGGGTTCAGCGCTATTCGCCCGCTGTTTCAAAGCCTCCGACTCACCTGGAACCGGTGTAAATGGAGGATCGAGTAGAAGTGGCGGAGAAGGAGAGAAGGAGGCTGAAGACGGTCCGTTAACTGCGGGCTCCTTTGACAGGGAATGCGATACGGTGCATGCCGTTTCCTGTGAAGGAAAAACGTGATGTGCAACATTCTCCCTGTCACGCGAAAGCCAGAGAAGAGACTTTGAGTGACGACCCGAGTAGACACCGCGACGGCTTGTCCCACTCGATAATTTCGATGGCAGCTTCGCCTCACGCAAACGCAGCCTCAAGAACAGGAGCATTCCCCGAGGAAAAATCATCGACACCTTACAAAACCTGTTCCCCCCTCCCAATAGATAAATGTATATATATTTATATGTAGATATGCATGCAGATGTATGTATATTCACTTCTCCTCCTCAAAACAATACCGTTACCGCCGTCCCATCGAAAAGCAAAAAAAAAAAAAAAAGAGAAAAGAAAAAAAAGAAGGACTTTCATGTAATTCACATGTTCATGGGAGTGTGTTCGTGGGTAAGAGAAAAAAAGAGAAAAAAAAAAAAAAAAAAAAAAGAGACGGAAAAAGGTGTGAGTGTGGGTGGTACAAAAACAAAAAAAAGGTGAGAGAAAAGGAGGAGAGGAAAAAAGTAGGTAAGTAAGTAAAATAATTTTAAAAAAATGCTTCTTATTTATGTCGCCTTTTAGAATTCCTCTTCGACGAGCCAGCGGCGGCATGCTCTGCACCCGCGCTGTTGCTCACCGGCTGGTGTTGTTGCTTGCCCTCCACAGCGTCTTCCCCGCGGGGAAGTTTAGAGCCGCTAAGCTCCCTTCGAATGACCTGCATAAAGTTGGATTTAAAGTAATTCACAGACTTTGTGGAGGTGAGAATAGCCGTATGCTTCTGTCTACCACTTCCTCGAATGCGAACAATGCACTTGGTGGGTAGCACATCCCTTGCCTGCTCCCCACCGCGTGCATCGCCACTGGTTTCGCGAAAACCCATCCCCGTCACTGCGGATGCCGCCTCAAGTGATGCGAGGGGTTCAGCAATGGGGAAGTAGTAAAGCGACGGCACCTGGTCCGCCTCATGAAGCACCGACTCACCATGACCCTCCGCTTCTTCTTTTTCTTCTTCTTCTTTGCTTGCCCGCGGGGCAAAGCGCTTCAAAATAACATTTTCTCGTGCAATCACTTCCGCCCACTCATCCCGTGAGAGTTGTGTTGATGTCGCCGCGTTATCCACGGAGGAGAACGTTGGTGCTGGGGCAGTCAAAGACATTGGGGCGCCACTAGGAATGGTTTGATCCACAATTTGTTTCAAAAAAGCCCCAACCGGCTCACGGCGAAGCATTCCAGCCGCAACTTCGTACTGTTCGCAAAGGTACTGAAGGCCCTCGTCCCCGTTGGGTCCACTGCCATCGTCAAGCAAAAGGCCCGCCTCCTGCGCCTGCTGCCACGCCGTTTGTATGTACCGCTCTGCCTCCTCCAGTGCCTGCACACGACGACGTTCTGAAAGACGTCCACGAAACACCGTGTTATGCGCAATCGTATTCGTCTTTTCTGACGTCGGCACATGTGCGAATCCGCCCTTCAGCACCACCCACACGGACCCGCCACGGGTGCTGGTCTTCCGAGACCTTTTGGAGCCCGTCCTGGGCGGCCGTCCCTCCTTGAGGTCTTTCTTCGCACCCGTCGTCTTTGTCCTTCTCGTTGTTGTTGGGGTCGTGGTGGTAACGGTGGCCTTTCGTCTCCTCCCCTCCGCGCGGTGCGTGTTTCGCTGCTCTCGCGCGTTTGCCCGCGCCATGTGAAATAATTTGCCCAGTTCCGCCAGGAGCACCTTTTCATCCTCCAGAACCCTCATCCCGCCCTTTCCCATCTCCGTGTTGCTCCCTTCTAATCGACCAATCCTTCCCACGTCGTGTTGTGTTGTGTAATGTGCGGAGGGGGGGGGGGAGAGGAAAGGAGGAAATAACAAAACCAACAAAAACAGAGAAGTGTAAAAAGAAGGCGGAGGAGCGCAGCGCCATACACACACACACACACACATACACGTGCAGGAGGAGAGACATTCAGAAAGAAGAGAAACCCCCCTCCCCCCAGTCCAACAACAACAACAGAAAATAATACCGGACACAAACAAATAAAGATACACACACACATACACACAAATATGTTTTTGCAAAAAGAGGGAGAGAAAAAGGGGGTAAAAAAAAAAAAAAGGATACACACACACAGACAGACACACACACACACACAGAAGCACACATGCAATCAGACCTCAATATATATTTATTTATTTATTTATTTATTTACTGTTCGCAACTACTTTTCTTTTCATTTCTTTTTCCCTCCTTTCCTTTTTTTTTTCTTTTCTTTTCTTTTCCACCCCTCCTACTCATCATCCCTCCTCCAATAAGGCACACACGCATGCACAACAGCCGCACAGCGAGCAGGCAGAGAAGGAAAATACGCATGGCAAATAAAGAAACAGCAAAGCAGAAAAAAAGCAATAAAAAAAAAAAAAAAAGAATTTCCTTCCTTAATAATTATAATTATAATAATAATGAAGATGTAAAGATAAATATAACAATAAAAAAGAAAAAAAGAAAAAAAAACAATGAAAGGAAAAAAAAAAAAAAAAAAGCAAACAATGATCAAAAGCAGAAAAACACGGCTGGCACGGTACCCAAAGGGCAAATAAAGATATGAGCACAAATAAACAAACAAATACATACATGCATCCGTAAGTACACAAGGAAAATAAAAGAGAGAAAAAGAGATAAGTAAAGTAAAATATTTATTTATTTATTTATTTATATATGTTTTTTTCTCTTCCATGCAGATTGATGTACTTAATTACATATAATAATAATAATAATAACGATGGTGCGTAAATAAAACGGTGCCTTCTTCTTCTTTTGTTCTTTTCTTTTTTTTGTTTTGTTTTTGTTTTTTTTGTTTTTTTGTCCTCTTCGTTCTTTCATTTCGGTTTTTTTTTTTTTTTATATTCCCCTCCCTCTTTCATAAAGTGTCAAAGACATTTAAATATATATATTTATTTAAGACTCGCAATGATCGCAATGGTTGCAGCAGCAGCAGCAGCAAAACCGGGTAAAGTAAGCATCCCTCTGGATATGCGTACATGTAAATATAAATATGTAGGCATTCTCTGGGCCAAAAGCAGGTTAAACAAAAAAGAAAAGAAAAAAAGAAAAAAAAAAAAAAAAAACATAATCATTCAATAATAATCATTCAATAATGATTAAAACCAACATCGCCATAAAGAAACGAAAAAAAAAAAACGAAAAAAAAAAAAAAAAGCTGTCAAAAAAACATGGAAATTAATTTTGGTGCACGCACTTGTGCTGAATATCTTCATTCATTCATCCCCTCCCCCCTTCCTCTCCCCCTGTCCCTGTCCTTCGCTTTCCTTCTACATATAAATAATAAATAATAAATATATCCCTTTCATTCACGCATTTTTTTCTTTTTTCTTTCAATTTTATTTGGCTACATATTTATATATGCATACATGGATGTAATGTAATGTTTCCTGCATCGGTAGCCTTTGGATAAGGTATAAAGCATGTAAAACAAAAAAAAAAAAAAAAAAAAAAAAATCTTTTTCCGTTTCTTTTCTTCATGGTATCTTTTCATATATATAAATATATATATATATATATATACCCTTTTGTTGTCGTTACCTTTTTTTTTTTCTCCTTTTTTCTCCTTTTTTTTTTTTACTTTCAAGCCATGTATTTTAAATAAGCATAAAGACACGCATTTAATACGTGTGCCGTATTTGTAAATCAAACACGGCCTAAATCCGAAACTCTCAATATATATATATAAAAATAAGAAAACACAGTGGAAGAAGCATATATATATATATATATATATATATTTTATTAATTTATTTACCGCGTCATAACAGTGGCTTCGCAATTCCATTGGAAGGCCTCATTTTCATTGGTAGTTTGCACCGTACCGAACACCGTCCCATGTCGATGAAATGGGAGATGACATGTACATTGGCAACGACATCATAGACATGTTACTTTGGTACATGAGATGCTCACTTGGTTGGGGAGATGGTATTAAGTGTGACACGGTCGGTGGTGGTGGTGGCATGGCATGTTGCGGTTGCTGGTGCAGTTGTTTTTGTTGTTGCTTTTGTTGTTGTTTTTGTTGTTGTTGTTGTTGTTGTGTCTGAGGTGATACATGGAGCATTGAGGGCTGCATAAACTCCATTGAATATGAGGAGACAACTCCATTGTTGTTATTTCCATTAGGAAATCGACTGAAATGCGCCATAGAGGTAGAAGGCATCAAAAGAGGACGTTGTGTCACTATTGAATTATAAAGTGGACCTTGTGAAGACATAGAAAGTCGCTGCACATATGGAACCAAAGAATGAATAAAATTGCATGATTCTCCCAAATTACACATTTTATTAAACTGAAAATGAGCACAATGACGCGCCCTGACGTTAGTCAAGTTTCCACTCTCGCTACCAGATGTGTCAGCAGTCTCAGTAGTAAGCATATCCCTTGCCTTACCGGTTCCAGGGTAAGCAAATACACTGTATACATTCGACGCACCCGCGGTGCGAAGAATCATCTCCGATGGAATTAGTTGCGGTACACTTTC